ACATTCAACCCGTTCTTTATCATCAGTAGTATTATTTGTGATTTGAATTTTGTGAATGGGAGTTTCTTTCTCTTTTTCTGTGTTAAGCCGCAGGCTTCGGATGCTTTCACTTTCGAATTCGAGATCTTCTTGTCACTGTTTTGCTTGCAAACATCTATGCACCTTTCATTTTTTTAAGACTAAAACAAAATATGGATTCATTCTTATTCTTAATTAAAAAGCACAACAACAATAAATCAGTAAGACACAATGACAAATTAGCTTACAAAACGTTTATTAACAAAAACGAATAAGATGAGGCATGGCACACACCACATGCTGTATTATATACCGACTAATAAATTACAGAACGTTTAGCAAACACTGAGGAATCAAATAAATAAATAAATAAAAGAGAGCCTCCATAGCGTAATGTGAGGTAAACAGCAATAGCGAGCCCTGCTATATCATCTGAAGCCATTCCATATCTTAATGTGAGGGACAGAATTGAGGTTTACAGAAACTCATCTTCCTTCTGCTGCAGCTGTCAGTCATTCTCCGCTCAGCATTCAAACAGCACGTCACGTTCAGTTATGACAGTCAGCATAAAACTCTCTCTCCAAGATGATATATTCCCATTATAATACTGTAAGTTTAAGGAGGGAAGGAATTATCACAAACAGAAAGATTATTAGAAACCTTTCTTTTTCTCATGATTTCTATCTTATATTCATGAATGTATTTTGTAAGAATACAAATAGTTAACAGAATAAACATGTTTAAATTGTATAATGTGCACCAAAGATTTTTTTTTCAAGGTATTGTTTTTGCTGCTAAATTATACAGTCATCTAGTTTAATTTCATAGCTTATATATTTTTATTCAAATGTAGTTTTTCTGCAAAATAATAACTCAAAAAGATTAAAAGATAACATCATAATTATTTACTGAACCCTTAAATTAATCACAATTATATAATGAAAGCCATAAAAACAGACAATTAATTGTGATAATCGGCATAATCGCCAAAGCCCTAAAACAGTAAAATAATCGCAATAACCGTGACTAATTTTAGACAATTAATCGTCAGCCAAATTTCATAATCGTGACAGCCCTAATAACACCTCAGCAACCACCCTGCAACCACATAGCAACACCCCAGCAACCAGCTTGCAATCACATAGCAACCCTCAAGCAAACCCCTTGCAACCACATAGCAGCACACCAGAAACCACCCTGCAGCCACATAGCAACACCCCAGCAACCAGCTTGCAATCACATAGCAACCCTCAAGCAAACCCCTTGCAACCACATAGCAGCACACCAGAAACCACCCTGCAGCCACATAGCAACACCCCAGCAACCAGCTTGCAATCACATAGCAGCACACCAGAAACCACCCTGCAATCCACCCAGAACACCCTAATAACTGCCTGGGAAAGTGCTAAAAAAAACACTCAGAACGACATATCAATTGCATAGCAAGGCCTTGCAAACCACCATCATCCACCTAGTGTTGTGTTGGTGGGTTTTTCATAAGCACCAACATTGCACCATTCATTTCTTTAGGCATAAAACATTTGTATTTAGTGCACTTATGTTTAAAGTCTTGATGCTTAGACATTCTCATCAGTCTTTCCTGCATCTACCCTTCATTTCAATTTAGCACTAACTGAAACTGAGGCCGTAAATGAATCACAAACTCCCCTGGAGACCGATGTCTCCTAATTCGTGGATCATCGCAGATGAAAGACGCTTCTAAGAGCCAGCCGAACCTCCAGGCAAACATAGCATACGAATCAAAGTCCAATCTGCAATGAGCAGAATTTCAGCGCTTCAGCTCTCCTGAAAGACATTGATTTAAGAGGAGAGAAAGCCTGGTGAGAAAGTGCTTTTACATCTGAGGTTTAATTCCCCGCCATTATAGATCAGGGAGGTTTTGCTTTCGTCTGTATCTTCCCCTGAGACTCTAAAGCCTGTGTTTAGTAATGACCCTACCACGGGAGGGGCAGGCGCGCTGCTCTTCCCAAAAGGTTGTTTCCATGGTGTCTAAATTGTCAAATTAGTGTGCAGTTGAATGAAGTTGTTAACGGGGTGAATTGAGCGCAAGGTAAACTACATTTGCATTTCCTGAAGGAAATACCAGTGCTTGCAAGGCAACAAAAGAATAGCGTTATGTTAGGCTTCAGCCTTTGGTTATTCATAAATTAAATGCAAACTGTGTCGTTTTTTGCACTACGAACATGAATGATACTTAAAATCATGTGGCTTACTGAAGAAAGGCATACTATCACTTTAAAGTTCACTTAATAGCAATTGCCTAACGACACCCTAGTAACCATCTAGTAAACTGAAGCAACCACCTAATGACACTCTAACAATAAGTTTTAAGGGATAAAATATTTGACTACAGGGGGACTTTAAACATCTTAGAAACTGCACCGCCAATCAACACACCAACAGCCAATCAGAACACCTTAGCAATGCCTTAGCAACCACCTAAAACACTCAAACAACTGCCTAGCAACACTCTAGAATCACCCTGGAACACCACCTATAAAGTCCTAACAACCACTTAGCCACCCAGAACATCCAAAAAATGCCTAACAACACCCTAGCAAACACTCAAAACACATTAGCAGCACACTAGCAGTGTGGCTTTGATGTTTGCATGGGAAAGCGCCACTCCCATTTTCTTCAAAAGTTGCAGAAGTCTTGTTGTTGGCACTTCTTATCGACACAATCAAACCAAAAAAATCTAATGAATATTTCAAAGGCTAAGGGTGCTTTCACACCTGGGCCATTGTTTCGGAACCTGGCGTGTTTCCCCCCCCCCTTAGCTCGGTTGGTTTGGGCATATGTGACGACGGTAATCGCGCTCAGATACGTGCTAAAACAATCGGTCCGAGATCGCCTGAACGAGGTGGTCTCGGCTCGATTGAAAACGAACTCTGGAGCGGTTCGGTTGTAGTGAGAAAGCAATCGGATCTTACGGATCAACGAACCAGGCTATATCACAATTTATGATGGGTAATTATGTAAGTTCCGTGAAAAGCATTAGCTTTGTTGTTTTGCTAATACCTCAAAATGAACCTGTGAATGTCTGTGGGTGAGCACGTCTTCTCCATTCAAAATCAAAGCGCACTTTTTCATTTTATAATGCCGTCTCATCACTCTTCTTCCTAGTAGGTGCATTTTAAAAATGCTTTCCTGATGAATCCTGGACTCCTGCTCAAAATGATAAATTAATATAAGGACAAATTTGAAAAAATTGAAAAAAACAACAATAAGCCCGCGAAGCTGTTGTCGTT